TGGTGATTCAGTTATGGGCAAGCGTCCACTCATCATGCATTCAAAACTCACAGGGGAATTTTCCTTTGTCAAGTGGTTGCACCAGATAAAATCATCTGGACCCAGATACATTTTTCAAGCAACGTCTCTATTTTGTGCCAAATAGAATGGAGTTAATTCAACACACCATTTGTTTTTTTTCACTGTCAGTAGATTGAACGACTTAAGGAGACCGAGATTCACACAGGAACCCCTCCGAAATGTCACCACAACTTCACTTATGCCTGTAGCAATGGCATTAAAAAGATTTGTTTTGACAAACTCCAATACCCTCTCGTTGCTGCAAGAGCAACACTGTTTGTGGGAGTTCAATCAGACTTCTTACTCATTTCCTGTTCTTCTACCTTGCTCCCCAAAAATGCTTATCGACATTAAATGTTCCTAATAAGTGGATGATTTACTACGTTGATTTCAGCACGTGGGGTATTGTTGGAAGGAAGCAACAGACTTGAGGAGGTTTTGAGACCTACTTCACAATCAAAAGGTGACCGCTTTGCCAATTTTCTCTTTTATGTTTTACTGCTTGCACAAAAATAGATTTTTATTTCAGGGGGTGCTTTTGTGTCAGATTTGGCAGTGGAAACAGACCACCCCCCTCCCCCCTCCCCTAACAAGGCTATTTTAAAATTGTGAATCGACTTACTACCACCTTACTAATGCTTTACCACACTGCACACCAGGACATGATCAACCTCCAACACAAAAACATATCTGCTGTTCTGGGCCCAAAAAAAAGGAGGGGTGGGGGTGGGGGGATTTTTGACTCGACCCTACCCATTCACAACACAGTATATTCATTCAGGTGCATTTGACCCAGGTCTGAACCTGATCTATTTTGACTGATGTGGGCAAAACGGTTTTGCGAAAGTTAATTGTGACACCATTCCCTGTAAAACATGAGTCACTAACCAATAGTCAACTTTGTAGAGAGATTTTTATGCTTTGGGGCTGTTTTTCTTCAGATGGAACTATGACCTTAGTCAAGGTGGAGGGAATTATGAACAGTTCTGAATACCAGTGTTAGCACAAAACCTTCAGGCTTCTCCTAGATTGAATGAATGAATGAATGAATGACCGAATGAAATGTCAAGAAAAGCCGACTAGAACATCAGGACTTTATCCGGTGGTAATCAGAAGCACTTTAAGTGGTGGCAGGTGTGTGCGGACTCCCATGAGTTGGAATGCGGTTGACGAATTCTGAACCCAGCCAGATCCCAGTTACATGTGTCGCATGCAGTGGACACATCGCCATTCATAACTCCACTTATCCCCATCCACAGTACCACATTGTGAACTTCACACAACAATGAAGCACTCAATGTCCCTCTTCTCATCTGATAATCCCGATAGCGATGTTAGCGAAGGCTAATCTGTGCTTCCAACACCGCAGCTCTGCTGTGATCGCTGGGTAAAGCCATTGTCACGAATGGCATCACCATTATGCTCGTTTGACCCGTTTACGTATGACGACCTGCCCACCGTGGAGCTGACTTCACCGATTGTTGATGATGAGACAAGTCATCCATGTGGGGGCAATGGAACGTAGCACCCACCTTGGTCCAATCTATTGCATTGAAGAGGAGTGACTTCCTTATGTTAAAATTTGGAAAAAAAGAGTCAGTGGGTAGTTAAAAATAGATATATATTGCAGACTATTTTCATTTTAATATTTAATTTTCAATATCGTGATTTCATTTTGGTGTTAATCACAATGACCCAGCCGAGTGACGGGGCAGTGCCCTCGCGCCCTTTATTGAATAGCTGCTATGACAACAATGATTCTCAGCATTTTGGTCCACATCACATTTGGCGCTCGTTCACTTTTGCAGTGCTCCCTACTAAAATGGCAACGATGAAGCGCTTGCAAGTTTTGCGCAGCACTTCATCTGGCAGGTGCCAAACTTAAGAGAACATGTTCTCTTGATTTCTGACCCTCTGCTCACTTTCGTGAGGCTTTCAAATCCAGCGGCTTGATCTCTTCTTGTCCTTTACAATGTGATGAGCCCTGACCAGCTGGCATCTTACTAATCGAGAAAAAGGGACCCAGTTGTGCAAGCAATGCCGAGTTGTCCTCTTAAAGGATAACATGAAAAAAAACACATCTTCCATTGTCAACAATCCTATAAGTCTTGTTTGATGCACAGTTTTGTCAACTTGTTTATGCACCGATGCAAAAAGTATTTCGATTTTTTTTTTTTTTTTTGCCTTACCTTTAATAACTCTCCTTTGTTGAAACTGAGCTCATCGCCTTCTGTGGCACGAAATGTATACAGTGCCACTGCTTCCATGCTGAAAACCCCCTGAGCAGGCGCACACTCTCGCACACACAACCACGGGGTCAAATACTTCCACAAGTGTTCCACAATGATGGGGGGAATTAAAAATAAAAAAAATACAAAAAAGGAACTTAAAGAAGACAATCTGCAAGAAGAGATGGTGCCTGGTCTGACTGCGTAGCAAAGGATGAGAGAGCGAGCGTCAGCTCAGAGAGAGGAGAAACACAACTGGCTGCTGCTCAGCAACACACTGCCATGAGTAACATTCTGAGAGAGAGCGAGAGAGAAAATGAGCGACCGCACACAGGATAAGAGAGTGGGAGGCACTTCCTGTGCATGAACATTTGTCTCATCAGCTTTGCGGTTTGTGCCGACGCTGAGTCGGATGTTGATCTCTGTGCATGCGCATCTCTTGATAAAGGCAAGACTTGAATTTTGTTAGCAAATATAATCCTCTAAGAACGCACCCGATGCTCAAAGGATGCCACGTTGGCATCCAACTGTCAGGAGGTTCCTGAATGAGCACCTGTCAAACAGTTTGATGGGAGAAGACGATCAAGTGTTCTGCTTGCAAGTGGGCTGCGACACCACTGGAGCTGAACACTTGGGGCTTCTTTCCTGTGCGAGCAAGGTTTATCTCGCATAAAAATAACCAGTCAAGGATGACACACACCTACTGAACAAGACATGAAGTGTAAGAACTTATTTTGTGCATTTTTTTTCGCACAAAAGTCAACTTGCTAAAAAGTGTAATAATATTGAGGCACCATGTTTGCCCTGCATTTCATTCAAAATCTGCAAAATATATATATGTATTATTATTAGGCCTACTCATGCTGAATTACAGAGCAGTATAAGACCCGCGACGAAGCCATATCTGTCATCTAGTGGTGAATGTTGATATTACAACTCAAAACTACAGTCACTGCTTATTTGCAGTTCAGCACCCGCAAATTTGAATATTTGCTGATTTTTGTTTCTTTTTTTAATATTTAGAGGTTTCCATTTACCATTTACAGTGTACCTCCCATACACACACAGACTTGGCTATTGTGCTTTCTTGAAGTTTCTTACGTTGGGGCCTCTTAAATCTATAAGAAAAAGTGCCTGAGAAATATTTAGCTGTGATATATTCTACTTGCTACATAAAATAGAATGAAGTGCGTTGAATATTTAATGATGGCAGAGAGCGAGCAATGTGTCTGCCACACATGAGTGAGATGTACGGATGCATGTGTGAATCCAGCAGCAGGCACGGGGTGAGCGGACTGATGGTTGATCTCATCTTGCGTCATTTTTAGAGCGAAAATCACTCGAGCATGAAGACCCCTGGAGTTCTTGAGAAAGTGCTCTTTAAATATTTGAAGGGACAATTTCAAGATCCAACAGCAATGCACAAGTTCGACAAGGATTGTGTACATGTTTTGATTCAATGTGATGGCACAGCAATCAACCCTGAACAACCAAACGGGTTGCCAGTCAGTTGCAGGGCACATGGCACGACAATTTAGTAGGAAATCATACTAAAGTCTTAGTTTAGCTTTGGTGACAAGACATTATCCGATCCGAACTGCACTTTTCCATAGCACTACGAAGGAAATCTAGGCAGAAAACTATAAGTAACATAATACCATTCAAAAATAGGTTTCTATTTTCTCTGTGAAATTGCACTATTTCTTTAGTTGTGTCTAATGTTTTGGCCTGTGAGAACAGACAATTTGCGACTGCTAGAAATAAGTGTAGCTGTCTATTTCACATCAAATCTAAAAAGACGCTTCTTTTGGGTTTGTTTTCTCTATCAAAACTAGAACACGCCTGACCTCTACTGGCCAAAACTGGAGGTGCGTGATTATTGAGCTACAGCAGACAAGCGCCATTATTTTTGTATTCATACATTTCACTTTGAGTTCATCAGTTACCACAGACACGAGTGCAAATTGTGCAGTGGCGTAAACATCTTAAACTGTATTACATGAATGATTTTTCTTCTTCCTCTCATGTTAGACTGTCCACCCTTTAAGCAGGAAGTGTCTGCAGCTCAGTCCACTTATACACTCGTCTATTCATAAAACCTGATTTAAATATCATACACTGTATTTTTGGTGAGTCTAAAAAAAAACGTGATAAATGCCGCCATGACGCTGAGACATGATCAGACACATGCAGTGGAAAAAGACTTGAGGGATGGAATGCTGCTCTGCAATGTTTTCCAGGCTCACACTGTCACACCTGTAACACACACACTGACCGCCGTGGAAATTCCAGACATTGGCATCGTGTGTATGATTTCATAGTTGCCGATGCTGCTGTTTAGTCGGAACTGACATCAAGAAAGTGATACGTTTGTGTTTCACAACCAGCCACTAAACAGGTTTAACAAAGCAGACCAGGAAGCCAGGAAGTATGGCATTTGCCAATAAGATCAAGAATTGGAGATGGGAAAAAACACACAGAGTCGGAAGTATATGGTATCTAAATTGCCCTTCGCTTGTGGAATGATCAAAGTACATTAATGATCACAGTACATGAACGAAGTAGTTGAGTTTAGTTGCACTTCGTTTCACCCATCTACTGGGAACGATTGATTGTTTAGTTATAGAGATGTTCTACTCTGAAGAACAATGTTGAGCCAGATTCCGGCCGTGTTTGTCCTCTTGAAACGAGCTGACCGGGCTCATGTAGTGTTTCATTGACGGCTGACATGGCTTCCAGGGAAGGAAGGTCTTTTGTGTGTGCGTGAGTCAGGCCGCGTCGGTCACACCCATCCCCGGCTCTCCCACCTCCCAAACCGCCCGCCATGTTCTGGAGGAGGGGAAACCTTTAGCCTACCATTAGCATTAGCAACACTTTGGCTAGGCGGAGGCGCAACAAGCTCGCCGCAATAAGTACACTATCTTGATTTTTTTTTCCTTTTTTATTTTTTTTAAACATCTGGAATTTTAGGGACGCGTTTTAGGGTCTACAGCCCTGGACTCTTATTTGAATCAGACCCAGTTCGAAATAAACGGTAAGATACCGCCTGCTTTGAATACGTAGAGGAATTATTTCGACGTTTGGTGGAGTCCCTTAATCCAGTTTTCAGTGGCGATGTCTCCACCGAGCACCCGTTAGTAGAGGATTGGCTACATCTTTTAGCATGCTAGTCGACTGATTTAGTACCGTTTGTGGATTACATTAAATGTGCAACGCAGGGTCGGATATAATTCCAATAAACATAAAGCAAGCGGTACGATTTGACGCCGAGTTGGCGACATTTGACGTGATTGAACCGACCAAAAAGAGCACAGACGAGCTCTGCGGGTGGCTAGCTTGCTCCCCAACTTTTTTTTCCCGTCGAAGTGTCCCAACACTCGGCGTGAATAAAATGCCTCTTGGCTCCAGTGGCCTGTTTACTGAGGTGTGAAAAACAATAAATGGTGAACCAACATTGATCGTCATCAAGGCACGTTGCGAATAAAGTTACGCAAGTTAACTCACAAGTTTGCTCGCAACTTGCTAACATTACCGCTCATCGCTAGTTAGCATCCAGGCTATTTCGACTGAGATTTCACAAACTCCGCGCTAACTTCCATAAAATATTTGTGTTCATTTCTTATCGGAATACAGGACGTGGATGTGTGAGTGAGCGAGCTAGTTTGTGTCGATAGGGAACTAAAGGTACGTCAGTGGCTCGTGAGAAATCAATCGCGTGAGTTCAAGGAAACGCTGTGATTTGTTCTATTTATTTTGCGGCATCGCCGTTTATTCATTGTTTCCCTTACATTCCTACGCCTTTCCAACACTGAATAATGTCACGTTTTCTATGCTCTTTGATGTGCGTCATTTAGCATTTTTGTGCCAGGGCGCTGTCTCTGTAACAGCATTGATTGTGTTTCTAACTGAAATAGTATACAGGACTGTTTTGGCTGTACAAGCGAATGTGAAATATTGTGTTACTTATGGCTGTGGACTGAGCCAGTGTGGTGTCATAATGGGTGGGGGAATGAGCATCATTATTGTTGTCATCTCTTGCATGACCTGGCTTTTTAATTACAGGATACGGAGGCGCAAGGACGGACCTATCAGGACGTAGCTCGCCCCTTTATTTTTATGATTATTTTTTAAACTGCTTCGATCCTTATTAACCATACTTTACTGCAGAGTGTATAACACACAGACTGTTATGTTGGAACTTAATTATTGGTCAACAATTATTATTTTCATGTGATCATTGTCGCTGGAAATTGTTGGTTAAGTCTATGTGTGTGTGTGTGTGTGTGTGTGTGTGTGTGTGTGTGTGTGTGTGTGTGATGAGTTGTGTTCAATAAAGACAAACACTGTCAGCCTCATGAGGGACGCCCAAGCGAGCATTCAATCTCCCTATCAGCTTTCCATCACTCTGCTTTGCTGCTGTCAAGGTAGACCTGTTTTAGGTTTCCTGTACCGTTGTGGGAAATACTTGGAACTGTTATTGGGGCAAATGAATTGCCTGGAATTGCAATACAACTCTCTGTGGCAGATGGACACTACAATGCAGATTTTGTCCCTTGAAATCCGGACGGAGTCCGTTAGTTTCATGTCTTTGATTGTACTTTGAACTTGGACTCAGCCTGGGAAAAAAGTGGTACTTGTGCATCCATAATTCAGAGCATTGTAACAAGTCATCAGCAAAACCAAGTACTTTTAACACATGGTCCTTATCTTCTTCAGTTTACTTTTTTTTTTTTAGCTGCTGCGGTGTGCCTGGGAGAGGCCACAGATGCTAAATATGGTGCTAACTCAAATTAAAATTTGAAACAGCAGTAATAACCATCTGCAAATTTGTCAGCGCTTATCAGTAAGCCATAAAGCGTTCCACCCCTAAAATGGATGTAACATCCCATCCGCATCGCTGATGTCATGTTATTGCCTCATGTCTTTGTACTGAAGCAAAGACAACATAATGTGGAAAGATAACCGTGACTCTGTCTGCTGTAGGCCCTTCAACTTTTGCAGTAGGCTTCGAGCTCAGGAAAAAGTACAATGATATGACTCTTCATTTGCTATGATGTGTGCTAAGTGCAGATCAATTCTGTTTTGTGTCTGGGACAACATACAGTCAGGCAAATGCTCACCATGAATTTAGTGTTGTGCTGCTCCCCGAAAAGGAGGACTACTGGCCATGCCGGGACTGCTATTTTGTCTTGGAGATGGGGTGTGGTGGAAATGAGTGTTTGCAGCAAAATAAACATGCCTGCTTGAAAAATCGGATTTCCGATTTTAATGAATGTTTGAACTCTTATTGACACATTTACACCCTTTCTCCACACAGGCTTGTTTCATAGAAATTTGTGAGCTCAGCACAAGAAGGACGAAAGGGAAGGGGGGGTCCGGCTGTGTTTGTGGTGGGGGTTGTTCCGGTGTGTCTGCGTGCATGTGTGTATTTGGGCTGGGGATAGTAGTGGGGGTTGCGATGGACAAGACAGACTCTCTTCTCTTCCTCCTGTCTGCAGTGAGTGAATAGGTGATTATTGCAGCAGATGTGTAATTAGGCCTCGGTCGTATTCATGGCGATGCAGGGTGATGAGGGAAAGTTAGCGGGGGTGGCAGGGGCGTGCGGGGTGGGGCATTCTACACAGGAATCACATTTGACTGGCATTAAGTGAGTTTACGGGATGTGCCAAGTTGTTTTCTCATTCCCCAAGCGCTCTCACGCATCCTCGTTTCCCCTCCAGCTGTCCCTCCGTGGCATGGCCAGGCCGGAAGCTGCCCTCACAATCAAACCTTCAAATACTGACTTTGCAAATGAAACGCGCACCTCTGAACACTCCCTACCTAACCACTGTTTACGCCGTCATTTGGTTGTGGGGCGTGCTGGCGCATGCCGAGTGCGCGTAGGATATTATTGAATAGGACATGTCCGTAGCCATCCCTTTGGATGTTGAGTACAAAGGGTGCATATACAGTATAGTACAGGAAACGAATTTTCTCTTCATCAATGAGACCAATAGTTTAATAGATGATACACTTGAATAATATGGTTTAGAAATCTTTCGTTAACTATTAATTAGGATTAAGACAGAGGCCAGTGCGGAATACCTATCTACGAGAGCTATGAATAACTTTCACCTTAGATCTAAAGGACTTTGTTTTACAGTTAACGATGTTTCAGGACAGCAATCTCTTTGAATACGGTTGGGTTATGAATTATTTCGATTCTCCAATAATCAGATCATATGTCATCCTCTTGTGATTTTTATTTCACAGGTTCTATGACGATTCATAAGTTGAACGTACTGTTAGATATGATCATAGTTACTGTCGGCCAAGAGACCTCGACAAATTTGTCGTGACGGATTCTGGATGCTTCACTGTAACATAACATCTGTTGCTTGTAATTAATTAACTTTTACTTTGTGCTTCCTAGGTAATGGCACGGTCGCAAGCACTGTCGGCACTTTGTGTGCGGAAATGGTTTTAACAGATATTGTTCTGGAGGACTCAGGAACACTGCACTGGCCTGAAGAAGCCTCATAGACTCTTACTTATCCAGCACAAAGTTTGTTCGGACCAGGAGACCTTAAACTGACACGCAGCTTTTTGCATAAATACGCAAAACTTGTGGCGTGAGCGCTCCTGTCGGTGCCAGAGTTGAAATTGCCGATCCCCTGCGCGTTCCGCCTCAACCGCCACAATGCCAAGCTCCACCATCCGCCGCCAAATGAAGAACATGGTGAACAACTACTCTGATGCAGAAAAGAAAGTCAGAGAGGCAACCTCCAATGACCCTTGGGGCCCCTCGTCTTCACTCATGTCGGAAATTGCCGACTTAACTTACAACGTGGTGGCCTTCAGTGAGATCATGAGCATGATCTGGAGACGACTCAATGACCACGGCAAGAACTGGCGCCATGTCTACAAAGCGCTCACCCTCCTCGACTACCTGATCAAGACCGGCTCGGAGCGAGTGGCGCTGCAGTGCAAGGAGAACATCTTTGCCATCCAGACTCTGAAAGACTTCCAGTATGTTGACAGAGATGGTAAGGACCAGGGCATCAACGTGAGGGAGAAGAGCAAACAGCTCGTGGTCCTTCTTAAAGACGAAGATCGTCTCAAAGGAGAGCGGTAAGATATTAGTCATCCAATTGAAACCCACGCAACGCCGCTCGATTCGACTCAACAGCCGCGTTATAGAGCACTTGAAAACAACTACCGCTGTTTTTAAGTCTCAAGACTCAATCCCCTCTGAGCATTTTGGTGAAGAGAAGACCCTCGAGCTTTTTCAAGAAGATTGCTGTGTTTTGTTCGCAAAGGTCCCAGGCTTTGAAGACCAAAGAGCGTATGGCCCAGGTGTCCACGGGGAGCAGTCAGATGGGCTTTGGTCGAGGCTCATCCCAGCCCAACCTCTCGACTTCCTACAGTGAAGAGTACGGCAGGTCGGAGGGCTCGCCTGCCTCCTACCATGGATGTGAGTATCATTTTGTTTTGTTTTCATTGTGTTGTTTAAGTATTCCCTTTATTTTTTGGAGCAGTGCATGTCCTCCCAGCCCAAATACGTTTTCATGCACCCTGGCTTTTCAGTATGGGAGTTGAAGCCCCCCTTCCCAAGCAATATGCTCCTCTTCATTCAAATGAGTTTGCGTGGATGGGCTAATGAATATAGTGAGCGTGTAAAAAGAGAGGCATGGGCAAATGGAGATACAAAGAGGAAAATTAAGATGCAGCTTAAACCAGTTTCTCTTGTCAGTGAAGATAGGGTGGCTAGATGGTAATTACAGGACTGCTGGTTTTTGATTCTAGTGGGTACAATGTGCCAGTGACCGAAACAATCCCACAATGGAGTCTTTGAAACCACGGCAGAGATAAAAAGAATAAAAAAATCACAGTCAGGAACTGGAGTAACGCACCACGGGGGCAGGCGGAAACATGGGAGAATTTGAAATGAAAGCGTGACCCTTGACTTGTTTTCTTTTCACCTTTTGACACTCGGCCGTTTGTACACAGGACCAATTGTGAGTCTCGTGTGCGTTTGCAAGCATGCGGTTTGAGCCTGCACGGATCATACGTGTTGCACGGAGTGCGCTCTCGACCTTAGTATGTGGCCCACATTCCTCCATGTAAATACGCTTCAGTATGTGGCCGTGAGGCGGCAGGTCCAAGAGCTGAGTCATCATTTGAGAAAACGGAACTTAAGTCTGGCCAATAGGAATAAGACTGAGTCGACCCTGTGGGCGTAGCTAGGAGAGATTTTTGAGATTCCGCTTGAAGCTCCGGGCTATTGTGTAGTGGCAGACTGTGACTGAAAACAATGCAAATATGGAGTTGACCTGTCATATGCCCTTGTTCTCACAGGGTCCAAAGTAGGCCGGAAACGTAATTGCATTATACATATTTCCTAATTGTATGCATTTTTATTTTCAGCGAGTACTCTTACTTGTATCGAGTCTGGGGGCGGGGGAAGTGATTTTGGGTCACCCCTGATGTTTAATTTGGCAGTTTTTGTGTCGGCTTTTGTCCATCAGCCACATCTCCCAATGCGGGATCAGAGTTGGAGCAAGCCAGACCTCAGACGAGCGGTGAGGAGGAACTACAGTTGCAACTGGCTCTGGCCATGAGCAGAGAAGCAGCAGAGCAGGTACGAGGCATGTGCGCTCCATGGCAGACAATGAATCACCATCAGTTCACATCTGGGGAGTTAACTTCATTGTATCAAATCAGTCTCATGTTTGATAAATGTCTTTGAGGGCTTGTCTAGTGTCTGTCAGTATTGTGGGTAGTTTTGGAATCACATTAAGTGTACACAATCTACTACTGTATATATATTCAGTGAGATGAAGTGTCAATCGCTCGCGTGCCAAATTACAGGAGGAGCGCATTCGCAGAGGGGACGATTTAAGACTACAGATGGCCTTGGAGGAGAGCAAGAAGGGAGGTCCGGACTCTGGCAAACTGGCACACAAGAAAAAAGAGGTAAGTTACCATCAAAGCATGAAACATCAAGTGACTTGGCACAAATATGCTAAATTAGTCTCCTCGCGCTCATTTTGCCTGACCCGATCTCTTCCCCCTGAAGCAGTGATGAATCTAACTGAAGATGGCCTCGTCAGCCCACCAATTATGTGACTCAATAAATGGCATGACTGTTCATTTTCATTAACATGAGATGACTGCTAATACGGCTGAGCAGTTTCATATTACATGCACAGTTGCTACCACTGTAGTTTTTTTTCCTCTCTATCAATTTTCAAATGAACCTTTGTCTTTTTTTTTTTAGCCGCAGTCATCCCTGATGGATTTAATGGATGTTCCAGAACCAGGTGCCAGTGCTGACCCCTGGGGTGCAGGAGCTCTGTCCAAAGGAGACCCCTGGAAACCTTATGGTACACATTCCGCATTTGCGTGCTTTTACTTTGAGGGGGATGTATTCGGTACTGCGTTTGTGCCTAAGTGCCTCACCCCTACCTGAAACTCTGAGAACTATTGGTTGACAACTCGGAATGTTGCTCTGCAGGCCCAGTGACAATAAAGCACTGCAGAAATTCACTCCTGACAGACCACATTGAGGACCGGGTTTGCGGGGAGAAATAAGTGCCAATTGCCAGGGGCAGTAGAAAAAAACAGCACCAACGGTTGAATGTGAGACGATATCTCTACACTGTAACTTATTTACCTAAGACCTCACGCACAGTTGACATCAGCAATTAGCGAATTCCCGTTTTCAGTTTGTTCACTTCCCTCACTGATGTCAAAAGGGGAGGCACTTGCAAAATTCCTCGACAAACTTGTGATGCTACACTGTAATGAAGGGACTTAATTGTGTTGGAAAGGTCGTGACAGGAGGAGAGACAGTTTGGTTTAACAGCTGAAAGGGGGATCGTTTGGACCTTTGATTCCTGCCACCAAAACACTCGTTCTTGTAGCTCATATTTAACCGAGCCATATTTTGCCACTCAGTAGACCTATTTCCCACCCCCAAGGTGCTTCTTCTAAGTCGGCAGCCTCAGCGGACCCGTGGGGGGCTCCTACCTCACTTCCACCCATGAAGAGCAGTGATCCCTGGGCATCAAACTCCACTCCCCCATCTGATCCCTGGGGGTCGGCCGCTACTCGCCCCAAGGCTTCCAACGCAGGTAACCCATAGCGGAAGGCTGCTGATGTTTTCAATGACAAAGTAATGAGGTTGAACAAATGATGGAACGGCATCCTGGAGGCCCAAATGGTGTTTGGTTGTGCCATTTGCCTTTTTCCGTCTGTCTCCTTTGAATCTACGTAGATATTCATTCACATTTGTTTTGTCTGTCACCAGCCGTGCACGTGTTCGTCTTTGCTTTATATTATATGTGTGTGTTGTCTCCATCCAGGTAGCTTTGACCTGTTCAGTGAATCCAATGGTACGTCCAAAGAGGACTTCTCAGAGTTTGACAGCCTGCGTTCCTCCTCCTCTGTCCCTGCTGGTACTCACCCTGTCCTTGTCTCCCTATTGACACAGTCTGTGTTGTTCCTCCTCCGTGCCGTCCGTTGTTCTAATATTTCTGCAGGGCATACACACGTGTCCTGCCTTTGTATGTTGATACTACCAGACTCGAGCAATGGGCCTAGAGCAGCCATGTTTCTTTTCCACGAGAAAACCCAACGAAAGACATGCTGCCATAACAATCAGATTTTCACTTGAAGAATGGAAGGCCATTTGCTCTGGTCTGGTCTTGTATCACTGGGGTGTTAATCTTGTTGTGGTGTCACCTATATGGACTTTTTTTTTTTAAGCTCACAAGGCTCAATATCAGAGGTTTTGCATCACAGTTTTTGGGATTAACCTGCAAAAAAATTGCTCCTCAAAATGTCAAAGTTGCTCCTCAAATGAAGTCAATGATTCACAAAACTCTTCGGCAAAGAAAAACAATGATTTCGAGCCTTTTCTCATGACTGTAATGAAGAACTCTGTTTCCATAAATTCCGAATGTGAGGTCAGCTTGGCGCAGGTCTTTGTGGCTTTCCCCCTTTCGGTTAGATTCTGCAGGCAGGGTGGTACTAGATAGAGATTTGTGCTTCAGCTCAATGCAAAAATGCCGAATACTGTGCTAAATTTGCTAAAATCCAAAGGATTGTCATGTTAATTTCTATTCTGAGATTAGTTTGTCCTAATGACACGTGTAAAAGATGTCTTGCTGGGTCTGGTGCGTCTCCATCGCTCTTTGTATCCATTGCTACCACAAAGGCTGTCTGTTTCTGATGTCCTCCCATAGTAGTTTCTTTTGATTGATTTAATGTGTCAATATAGTTTTTTTTTTTTACAGTGAAAACTCACGTGCAGATGTAATGCACTGTATCATTTTGATTTCAGCTTTTAATTTTGAGATGTTGTTCTCAGCACAATACATTTACTTGAGTATTATTACTTTCGCACAAGTCGGTGAACCCTGCTGTGGAGTGTATCATTTTATACCTTAAATAGCTTGTCTTTGTAGTCTCTACAACTAACTATAATGTACAGTAATGTGCAAATTATTTGCAAATCATTCTTTTATACTATGTTTACACGGCATCTGAACTTCACTGGTTCTCATTTTTGTGATGTTGAGTATTGTGTGTGTGTGTGTGTGTGTGTGTGTGTGTGTGTGTGTGTGTGTGTGTGTGTGTGTGTGTGTGTGTGTGCGTGCGTGCGCGTGCCTGTGTGCGCGCGCGCACGCAAATATTTACTCATTTTTAATTCAATGGGTTCAAAACCTGTAACAGGAGCCACCAAAGACAGTAAGTTGGTGAATACAAAAACAAAAAATGGGAGCGGAGAAGTCGCGTTTCTTGACTGGGAATAAAAGGAGTATCGTAGAAACGGTCAGTCGGTCACAAACAAGGATGGGTGATGTTCACCGTCGTCCTACAATCTACAAATGCAAGTTATGCAACTGTACCATCACAGCGTGACATTCCGGGTCACAACGGTGCGGCTTTAGTTAAAGTGCGGCTGGTAGAATAGTCTGCCTGAAGTCTTGGCCCAACTGGTGAAAAATTGAAATCAGAAATAATCAACCAAACATCTCGTTTGTTTTGTATTGAGTCGGATATACTGTATGTCAAAGTATATGTTGTACTGTATTCTGATTTCATTTACATTCAACTTCATGCCCCCCGCTTGATTGTAATGGAGGTTTCTGCATGTATACAACAACTTGTGTTTTGTAGGTGATGGTGGGATAGCATCCTCTGTTCCATCCCAAGCCAGTCTTGCTAGCAGCAGCAGTTTGGACATCTTCGACCCACTTCCCACATCCATCTCTACTTCTTCAAATCCAACCAGGAAGACCCCAGAGTCTTTCCTGGGGCCCAACGCTGCCCTGGTCAACCTGGATTCTCTTGTGACCAAACCAGCCCAACCTGCACCAGCGTTCAACCCATTCTTGGCTTCCACAGGTGTTAATTTTTTTTTTTTTTCCCAACACACAAAAAGAGAAACATACATGTTTACCATGTCTTAAATTGTTGATGGTTCCAAATTGCTGATAAAAGATTGGAACTCATTGGGAGCATCTTTTTGTGCTTCTGACATTGTCTGTGTTTACTCAGGTGGCGCCGCGGCAGCCTCCGCCACCCATGCCAACCCCTTCCAAGTGAGCCAACCGGCCCCTCCAACCCTCAACCAGATGCGAGTCAGCCCCATGCCTTCGGGGTTCGCCAGCGGCATGGCTGATTCCATGGCCATATCCTCCTTGCCCACTCAACCCATCTCCATGGTCCCATTAGCAGGCATGGGCCCTGTGGGACGCCCGATGGGCGCTATGCCCCAGCCACTGATGAGCACGCCCCCCCAGGCTGGGTCGCAACCCACCGGAGCCACCAACCCATTCCTTTTGTGAAGGGATGACTGCAGGACAACGTGCACGCAGAACACCCCCACCCAACTTCTTTCCCCCCCCATCTCTACAAAGCTTCATGGAGAAGTTGTCTCGTCCCATGTATCCCTTTTCTAACCAACCCCCCAGCAAGTTCATAGACACTGTGGCATCCTTTTAACATTACCACACGCTTCCTCCCCTCCTTGTGCGACAAACTGCCTCGTCCCGTGTGTTCCATTTCGATGCGACACTGATGTAGATCACTGTCCACTTGGCATCAGAGTTAGAGTAGCAGGGGTGTTTACATTTCCCACCCCCTCACCCCCACAGAGGCAGGTGAAGACAGTCCGCTTGTCCCTCACCCTCCTCCCTTCCTCCGTAGGATTGCTCCCTTTCTTCTGTGGGGTGACAGAAGCCTGACTCTACTAACGCCAGGATCTTATCTCGTCACTAGAGCTAATCTTTTATAAGCCCTGTCAGCTGAATAGTGTGCGCGTGTAGGCGCATGCGTGTATGCGTGTGAGAGTGGGTGCACATATTAGTGCTATTACACTGTGTATTTCCCAGTAAGTCTTTCCTTCACTTACTGGCGTTTGAATGATAGAGACCGTCAGATATGTTTATACTCTGTGTGTGTTCCGAAGCAGGGATTTTGCACATTTCGTTGGCTTTTTTTTTTTTTTAACTAATAATTTACGCGACTGTTGGGCTCACCGCGACACCTTAGCGTAGGCAAGGAGGCTAGCTGTAAAACGGGGCGTGACTGCTTAAACTTGGACTTTTTCTGTACCACTCCCATCACAGCGCTGGGCACGCCATTGGACTCCTTCTTGAACCGCCACAAAACATGCTGACCAAACACGGGTCGCGGTATTAAACGGCATGAATGCTTCTCAAAGGAGACGAAACCCCGCTAGCCGAGTGATTAAGTGGCATGTTATGCTCGCAGATGACTTGTCAATGCCCCAATCCTATGACTCCATGTGATATACGACATTAAGGCCACACCCAAATTTGCGTTGAGACATAAATATATTAACTGTCACAGTGTCAGTATTCAAGCACATAAAGTAGGCATTGTGGAAAAAAAAAAGGTTTTGTTTTTGTACTAGGGTCAAAGGGAAGAGGGGAGCGCGTGCGCAGTTTGAACGAGAGATACCAGCTTCCACATGTACTTGAATGCACAACGTCGGCAGTTTGTAATAATTGTGGCGGTTACCAGTTTGTCTGCAGCATCTTCTGTTGGCACGCTTCAATCAGCAATTTAGAGGGCGGATTCATTGCCACTTATCCATCTGCAATCAATTTACCTGGTGAACACGCAGTCGAAGAGCAAACTGTGTTCCATGGAGGAGTTAGGAGGTCTTTTTTCATGGTTACATTTTACTATTTACTCATTCAGATCCTTTTTCTGTCATTAAGGTGTTTACTAGCTGCATATTTTAGTCTGCATCAGGTCATTTTAGTGTTTCACCCTATGGGTCAGCCATTCACTTCTCTTAGAAGCACAACTGTTACCAAAGTCACAGCGACTGATCTCCAAGTCTGAACCCCCCCCCCCCCCTTCCCAGACCAAAACCCAGCATCAGGTCACTTGACTGTTTTTTTTCTGTTCGCCGACACGCACACACCATTGTTGCTTTCCATGACATTTTTTAAGTTTGTGCAAAAATGAATATTGGAGGATTACTTTGTAGAGAAACAGAGCGTAATCAGAAAGCTGGTGATGTTTTCTTTTTTCTTGGCTCATGGATGGGTGATAGGTGGATTGAGTGCATACAGCCCAATGAAACCGTTAAATCGCAAAACAAATAAGATATGCAAACAATGCGGTAAGTTCATGTTAAAAAGAGATGTTTTGCAAAAATGGCTTTGCTAATATGAGCTTATTGAACGGCGCCTCGCAGACAAACTGTTTTGTCACCCTCCTTGATTTCACTAAACATTGAAGCGATGATGGAAAACAAAAATGTTGGATGACACTGCAAATGACCACTTTTTTTCTGACCGGTTTCACAGTGGCGGTGTGGTTCCGTAATGGCCCGTGTGTGACAAGCTGATGATGCATCACTTTGTATTCGCTATGCTTTTATTGAGAGAATACCTGACCTTACAGACTGTCTTTATATGCATTAATAGCCACCTTTTTATTCTTCTGCACGTCTGTCTAGTTACTCTTCTCATAGTGCTGGGAGCAGGCTGCTTTTTACTCGATACGTGCTCAATCTGACGGCATTATATCTGTATAATATAATTTATCATTTGTACTATTGTAACATACCGTTCTTTTTTTTGACCTTTATTCTGTGTAATGGGTTTTTGTAGGACACGTCACCGTGGAATCTTAACGGCATCTAAATAAACGAGCACAGCAGGGCGCCCCCTGTTGGTTGAGGTTGAGTAGCTGCATTGGTTTAAAGTAAATGTATATCACATCAACTCTGTAACCCTTGTCAGTGTCTTTTTTTTTTTTTTTTTTATAACATAGATCATCTACGTCTCTGTAAAGTCAGCCTTTTTTTTTTTTTTTTTATAACAACAAAGATCATCTACGTCTCTGTAAAGTCAGCCTTCATGTAAAAATATAAAAATACAAATGATGGAATACGTAACAAAGCCATTTACAAAGACATTTGCATCAAACAAATTTTGAATATAAAACAGGACAGTTACCATTATTTCGATGTGTTCTAGTGATCATAACCAGAGCGTTTGGGTGGACACTAGAAATGGTCATGTTTCATCCGTCGACCAGCCAGATGTGGTGGCGTAAGATTGTGTGTTTGAGGAATTTGATGGTCCAGAATCATAGCCCAGTTTCTTCATGTCCTTCATGATGATGTTAAAGCAGACTGTCACAAATCCTTGGGAACAAACCCGCGTCACTGTCATAAGAAAACAGGTTACCTTATGTGAACGCGGACAAAAAAAACCCTAAGTCCAATCTCATTGCTTCTGTTCTTATTTACCAGAAAGAATGAACATCCACACATACCTTCTCGCCCTTCACCCTGGGCTACGACTTTAGGGTCTGTGTACTCTGGTCGACGTCCCCAAAGCCAACTAAAAAAAAAAAAAGGAATACAGTAATACTTTGAATTGAAACTGTGGGTTTTGATCCAATGATATAGTCGACGTCCCCAAAGCCAACTAAAAAAAAAAAAAAAAAGAATACAGTAATACTTTGAATTGAAACTCGGGGTTTTGATCACAATGATGTGGTTCAGTTATGATTTTTGCCTTGATACACAAAGGATATGAAATGAAACTCAATTGAAAAGTAGACTTTCAGCATCAGAATTTCAGAACAAAAATTAACACAAGTGTCATTGATTGTTTTAGAATTGCAGCTCTTTGCAAACGGTCTCAATTTTCAAGATCTTGCTCGTCAAGTTCTGCATTTCGCTAGTTAACACTTCTGAACATTTTATTAGACTTGATGGTAAGTCTTCAAACACGATGACGTCTTAAAGTTTGGAGACCATGGGCGTCACGAAAATTCTCACTCATGCTTTACTGGGAGTGCACTGTGAAACGTCTCTAAGCTGAAAATGTCTAATGTGTTCTGAGCTTTCTAATGCATTGTGGTGTATAATGACAAGCAAATAAGACTGCCACTGTCTCCGACACCAACCCGACTGTCAACTAACCTGGTGAATTTTTGAAGTCTCCATGTGGGTTCAGGAACAAACATGGGCAGGGTCCGTGTATGTCTGCGGGGGCCAACAAAGAGCTGATATGTTTCACACATTTAAAAAGGCATACAACATACACTTGCGGGACGCTTTACAATATGCTGTGATCTATCCTTTGATACGCCATTTGTAATGGATCTCAAAGTTGTTGCAGCTGGTGAGTATATATTCTACAAGCAAATATTATTGAAAGTTGATGAGGGAAGCACTGACTTTCCAGGTGTTAACGGGATATGTGTTGCTCCATAGCCTCTGACCACATCGTTGCCAAACACGTCTGGTCCATACACACTCAGCACAAGTTGAGGCCCTAATTTAGAAAGAGCACATAGGATTTTGATAAACATTTCCTCCAATTAAATGAAATTGTTATTAGTTAATGTTAGTGTGTGCATGTGAGAGAGACTCACATCCCGAAGGGTTTGTGCTCTTAAAAGTGATGTCCAGTGGGAAGTTCCATATCAATTTGTGTGACGATTGACTGCCTTTACATGTTATTTGAGTGATGCCTTCCTCCAAACCCTACAAAGGCAAAAACAAATCAGAATAAAATCATAAGCATTTAAATTGGTAAACAATCACAACTTAAAAAAAAAAAAACAACACACACAAAAAAAACCCCAGTGTGGCTCTTGAGTGCAAATGAGAGTTCGAGCCTCCATCCCACCTGATTTTGGGCAAAGGGTGACTGGTCGCAAGATACACGATAATAAAATTAATATAACACATTACGCATATATTCCTCGGGCTGTGCAGTGTGACATAAAACTTTACTGTCATCCACTGCATTCATAAGGGTACTCACAGTGGTGGGCATCCAGTCTTGGCCGTAAACAAAGCAGTATTTGCAGTACAAATCGTCATAACTCGGAAACTGAAATGGAAAATACACCATGTCAAGTAGATGGACAAATGAATTTCTCTCTTCAACTTGCACGAATGCAAAGCGTTACAAGCTTCAAAACGCTAGCGAGCTAACCTATATTAGCCGCCATGCTAGAAACGCCAGGCAAAACTCACATTCGCTCCCTCAATCTGTCCGTTCACCGAGAGAAGAAACACAGATGGGTTGTTTGCAGCCATCCTGTCTTAAAACAGTACATCCGAATCTGTTTTCAGAAGTCTATACTTTTAGAAGATACATTTAGCCTGTTCGGAGTGCTAGCTAAAGCCCCTCCGTTGCTAAGGCGACGCTTGTTCCACCCCACCCTATGGTTCCACGCGAGGCACAAATTTAACACACGCGCAATAGCGGAGAACCATTTCTCTCCACCCTATGGTTCCACGCGAGGCACAAATTTAACACTCGCGCAATAGCGAAGAACCCATTTCTCTAAATGCCCACAAGATAGCAGCAATGGAGCAAATATTTAACTGATGACACCGGAAAGCGTTGGCAGTGGTCATGAGGAGCGGAAGACTTAAAATAACATGTTGGTGAGTGAATCACACAATTAAATTAGTCCATATTTTCAATTTAGGACGCGAATTCAGTTGCACAACAATGTTTCAGCCAAACAGTGTCGTGTGTCTGTGTATCAAATGTTTTCATTAGTATCCTTGCACAGCACTTTTAGCCATCAGCCACAATTTGAACTGAGCATGGTGACACATAAGGTAGGGGTTTGCAAACGTTTTTGATCTGGGGGCTTGGAATGAGGGGGCAGATTGCAAGAATCGCCTCAGAACGCAAATTACACATATCGTGTGTTTACTTAAATGATATTAGCATTGTGTCAAAGTCTAGGCCTGAAGGCCGAATCCAGCCCACTCTCTTATTTTATAGTAGCTCACTAAAGCTACCCGGGTCCATTGCACTTGTCTAACCCACGTTCTCAATATTATACTCCCAGAAGCCAATAAGTTTTTTTTTTCATTGCACCACACTGATTCTATGTTTCAAGTCTTACTACTCCATGTGGCTATTAACTTCCTTTGTTTGGATAATTTGGTGTAATTTGAGTGACAGTGTAGAAAATCAAGTGCTCACGCAGGCTACAAATAAGCCACAATTTTTTTATTTCTTTCTCATGTTCCCCCTGTTTTTTGACTGTGTGTCAGACATGTCGCTATATCCTACTGTCGTACGGCACTGTGCGTCCCCTCTCTGTGTGAGTCTCTGACCTTTTACTGGAGACTTGGCTGCGTGCAGAAAACTCACTCAAGCATGTGGAGAAATTACCCCGTGCGGCGACATGTCAGACATGTCGCTATATCCTACTGTCGTACGGCACTGTGCGTCCCCTCTCTGTGTGAGTCTCTGACCTTTTACTGGAGACTTGGCTGCGTGCAGAAAACTCAGTCAAGCATGGGGAGAAATTACCCCGTGCGCGACAATAGAGCCAGGATTTGCACCCAAAACACTCGACTGTAAGCAGACATTCTGTCCATGTGCTGAAGACAGTCTTTTATGTAAAAGGACACAATTATCGAAGATCTTATTTGAGAAAAATTGGAGTAACTGCGTCATATCACACATGAGCATAAAGTTAAAAATAAACAAAGTGCCCCATGAAAGGAGATGACATCATCTCCAGTAGTCTATACTCGTATACAAGCCCCCACGATGACCATATATGGAAATTATTCAACCAAACTCACTGTTCTAGTTTGCCATGTCACAATAAACAAGGCGAGAAGTTAAAATGTCAGATTAACAGATGACATGAGGAAATTCCACCCCCACCACCGCCCCACGGCTTCTATGTGATGCTGTGGCAAGATTTGCCTTCTATTCACTCAGGCACGATGATAGAACGCAGGCCATCGTTTGTGGAAATAAAGTGGTGACGATCAATAAATAAAAGTTTATTGACATATCGAGACAGTCCTATTATTTTTGTTGTTAAATTCCCAGTCAAAATATTCAAGTTTGGCGAGATTCGCGAGTGGCAACGTAAGATGGCCGCCAGCGGTTTCTTTTCTAGCTACGGCGATTAAGCAATGTGGTTAGTCCATTCATATATAAATCTGTGGGATTGGCACTGTCCTCAAACATGGCCATTCATAACAATAAGCGATTATGAACGTGTGATGAATAGGCGCAGAGAATGCTGCCCAGCTTCAACAAAATAGCAGCGCTAGCCATACTAAGCTAGCATCAGCAGCATGAACAAGTAGATGTTAGCCACAGCTGCTATGTTGACAACATGATTTATTTGTAACGGAGTGTTACTAACACTAAATGTTATCATTTGGAAGTTTATTTTTTTGTCACGTAGAATGTTCCACAAAATATATCGGAAAATATATTTTGCCACCTATAGGATGTATTTAGCTTTTTCAAATTAATTCCAAGTCAATCAATTAGAGTGGATGATTCCCCTATAAAATTATACAACATACTACATCTGGTACTAGCTGTGTTTCTTCCCCCACTGATCAATTGCCTTCCCGGACCATGCTTCATTTTGACCTCTCTCATTCCCCTCCCCCACTTTTCCATCACCTTCCAGCTCCCTGCCTCCCATCTGCACCTTTTTTGGTTACATTCTTGTCATCCTCTCATACACTGATGAAATATTGCTTCTTCTCCCCTTCCCTGTGCGTCCCCATTCCGTTTCATTCCACCATGTTCTCCTCCTCCACCACCGCGTTCTTTGCTTGCCAAATGTGTGTCATTTCTTTCCCCCCCCCACCCCTGCAACCTTTCTTGCCAACATTCCAACCGCACGTTCCCTCTCAAAATGCGCTCTTCATGACAAGTCACTGCTTATCGGCACCTCCTCATATCTCATGTCATAATCCTTATT